CCTCCTCCTCCTCCTCCTCCTCCTCATCCTCCTCCTCCTCCTCCTCCTCCTCTTCCTTCCCCTCCTCCTCCCCCTCCTCCTCCTGGGTGTCTTCAGAGGTGCAGCGCCCCCGGCGCCTGCGCACCCGCTGCGGGTCGCGGTGGCGCGGCACGGGCCTGGCCGGTTCGGGCGCCGCGTGGGGCACGCCCGGCGCGGCGCCCAGCCGTTCTTCGCTGCTGCCCGGGCTGTCCGGCGAGGAGCGGCGAGCGAAGCACGACATGAGTCTTGGGCTGCCAAGGGACGAAGGAGGAGGAGGGGGAGGAGGAGGAGGAGGAGGAGGAGGAGGAGGAGGAGGAAGAGGAGGGGGAGGAAGAGGAGGAGGAGGGGGAGGAGGGGGAGGAGGAGGAGGAGGAGGAGACGAGGAGGAGGAGGAGGGGGAGGAGGAGGAGCTGCCAAGCACGGTGGTGTGTTCTCGGCGTGTCGGGCGGCGAAGTCTGTGCGCGCCCATGGCCCCGTGGCCGGGCCCTTCCTTCGAAGAAAGAAACTGTTACCCGCGCCGCGCGCCATCCGCGCGGAGTGCCAAAAGCTTCTGCTTTGTGCCGTTTCTTCTTCTGCTGCTCTTGGGCCTAAGAGCTGTGCGTGCGCCCTCCTGGTGCGCGTGCGGTGGTCCAAGCGCAGGACAGGGAGCCACGGCCGCAGCCGGGCCGATTCTTCGGGAGGGTCCCTCGGGGAAGGGCCCGCCGACCTCGACATGAGCCTTTCGGTTGTGGCTGTGGTCGATGTGGCCGTTCTGTGGCTCAAACATCGACCACAACCAGCACCGAGCTGGCTTCGGCGTTCTCGCGATTCTTGGCATGCGCAGGACGTGCCCAGGGTGTGTCCACGATGTGGTTGTGGTCGCTTGCTGTCTCCGCAGGCGGGTTCGCGTCGTGTCGACTGGCGGCGACCCTGCCGCCAGCGTTCAGCGTTGAACGCCGCTGGCGACCTAGAATCGGTCGTTGTTGAACGATCGGACGTTTTTCGGAAACGGCCAATCGTTCAAGGTTGGACGATTCCTTCGGTGTCAGAAACGAGCGACAGGGTCGTCACGACACGAACCTGCCGTGAATTCTTGGAGTCCCGCGCGGTTTCCTTGGATCGGCGCTGGGGCCCCCCTGGCCAGATGTTCGTTTCAGGGGCCCTCCTGGTGGCCACCTGATGAGTCTGTTCGTCTCTAGTGCGTGCGGATCTAACTCGACTCAAGTTCGACTCAAGTCGACGGACGTTTCACGCAGCATCGACGCATGAGTGGAGCGAGCGGCTCCATGAAGGCCTCCAGAACGAGCATCCCGCGTGCCTCGGGCAGCGATCCAGGAAAATCCTCGCGGGCTTGCGACAGTTTCTGCTTCTGCCGTGGTTGTCGCTCCTCCAGAGGAGGGGGGCGTCCTCTTGGCCAGTCCGCTCCTCCCTGGCCTGGTGCGCGCGGACACGGAGGCGCACTCGGCCCCGTGGCACGAAGGGGCGGCGTGGGCGGAGCCGTGGGAGCCCGGGCCGCTGAGCGGGCGCTCCGCCACCACCGCGGCGTCGCCGCGCAAGAAGTCCGCCTGGGCGGACATCCAGGACTCCAGAGGCCTCCCAGACGGGGTCCGAGCAGGTGGGGCCGCATGATCGCGCCGCCTCGCCCATGCATCGGCGATGCGACTCGATGTGGAGGCCGATCTGCTCCACGCCGACGTCGCCGAAGCACCGCCCACGTCGCCGATGCATCGCCGGTGCGTCGGCGATGCATCGGCGATGCGGCGCGATCCTCCGACCCCATCCACTCGGACCCCAATCGGGAGGCCTCTAAGAGGACGACTTCGACGACGAGGCCAGCGAGTGCTCCACGCACTCGCCGGACTGCTCCAGCGGCTCCCTCTCGTCGGACGGGTCCTGCGAGGCCTCCGACGGCCAGGCGGCCCGCCGGCGCGGCCCCAGCAGTCTGGTCCAGCCACGGTCGGGCTCGGTGCTCGCACAGGGGCTGATGCCAATATTGCCGGAGGAGACGTGTGCGCGACCTCCCGTCTGTTCGCCTGAGCCTGGCTCACTCGTGGAGGTTATCGGCACGCACCCCTCAGGCGCACACGCCGTCGTCACCACCGTCGACCGGGAGGAGGGCACCTACGAGGTCCAGCTTATGAGCAATGGTCGCCGTACCCGTCATCTGAAGATAATCAAGTTCAAGCACGCCCGTCTTCTGCGACACGCATGATGGCATGTCGCAGTAATTCGTCGGTGTAGCGTCTAGCAGCTGGCTTGCGCACCAGAAAGTGATTGCGTGCATAGGCGGCATGCATCTTTGCGCTTTGCCTGTGCAAGCCTTCCGTGTCCAACGTGAACGGAAGTATAAGCGGTGAGGACGAGGGGAGGAACGCGAATAATTTCGGCGCTTCGGCCCCACCCTGCAGCGCCCTTGCGGCGTTATTCGCAGGTCGCAGGTCGCAGTCGCAGTCTATCATCGAACTTTCCCTCCATTGGTCGCAGTTTCTGGTCCAGCTTTCCTCTCTTGCTCCACGCAGGGTCCACAGTCTCGTCTATTTATCAGTGGTGGCACCTAACTTCTTCAACAGCTTATGTGTGCTTCTGGTGAATATTCGTGTGTCTGCACTAGGCTGCGGGCAGATTTTTTAATTAGCTCAAAATCCAGACTTTGCCAGAGAGCTGACCGAGCTTTCTCAGGCACATTTTATGCTCAGGTCGAGGAAGAGCAGCGGCGTAAACTTTCAGAGCTCGGTGCGGATTTCTTGGATCGGCGCTTGCTCTCCTCTGACGGTGCCTCAGGCACCGCCTCTTGCGCGCTCCGCGCGCGAGTGAGGGGTATCCACGTTCTGCTGTGGTACCATCTCCCGCCAGACGTTACGGCCTCTAAGCGCCATGCCCCAATGGGCACGATCGGGCCCTCGATCGAGGTGCCCTCGGCTTTGGCGGTTGTCTTGATAGCAGCCTAAGCCCTTCCCTCTCTGGTTGAAGCGGGCGCACCCCCTTCGTCTGCACTCGCGTCTGGACTGAGGCTCGCGCCAATACGCCTTTGCCAGAGAGCTGACCGAGCTTTCTCAGGCACATTTTATGCTCAGATCGAGGAAGAGCAGCGGCGTAAACTTTAAGAGCTCGGTGCGGATTTCTTGGATCGGCGCTTGCTCTCCTCTGACGGTGCCTCAGGCACCGCTCCTTGCGCGCTCCGCGCGCGAGTGAGGGGTATCCACGTTCTGCTGTGGTATCACCTCCCGCCAGACGTTACGGCCTCTAAGCGCCAGGCCCCAATGGACACGATCGGGCCCTCGATCGAGGCGCCCTCAACTTTGGCGGTCGTCTTGATAGCAGCCTAAGCCCCTCCCTCTCTGGTTGAAGCGGGCTCACCCCCTTCGTCTGCACTCGCGTCTGGACTGAGGCTCGCGCCAATACGCTACCAGACGGAGCGCAACATATTTTTGACTGGGTGTCCCTTGCGAGTTGCTAGCGCGAGCTTTCAAGGGCTCCTGTCCACAGTCACCCAATCTTGGTGAGGTGACAAAACACCCAGACACAATCACTCGTCGACTCCCAGGAAAACACGGGAAACTATGGGCAGTGGGGGGGAAAACGCACACCCAGAAAACCCACAGCAAGTGCGGGAACATATGGGGGAATCCTGGGACATGTGTGTCTATTTTTCGGAACCTGTTCGAGTGGGGCCCTTCCCTGCGCGGTGAGCGCTGGAGGGCCCCTTTCTTGACTTCGCTCGAGGGCCGGCCGGGCGGCGGCTTCTCGAGCGCGGCCGCGGCGCGGCCGCCCCCTCCGGCCGGCGTGCCCCTTTCGGCTCCCTCTCCGACTCAGGATTTCGGGCAGTGCCGAGGGGGACCGCCGCCACCGGGGGCGGCCAGGAGGGGGGGATGGCTAGGGGGGGGGAAGTCGTGGCTGGGCCACGGCATCTGCCCAGACTTCGTGGCCCCCTCCTCCTCCTCCTCCTCCTCCTCCTCCTCCTCCTCCTCCTCCTCCTCCTCCTTCCTCCTCCTCCTCCTCCTCCCTCCTCCTCCTCCCTCCCTCCCCCCCTCCTCGTCTCCTCCCCTCCTCCTCCCCCCTCCTCCTCTCCTCCTCCTCCTCCTCCTCTCCCTCTCCTCCTGCAAGGCGTCGCCTGGTCCCCCTCCCGTCCGCGCGCACGCCTCGGGCCTCGATTCGGGCACCGCCCTCCTGGGCGCCCCCCCCTTTGGGGCCGCCCCGACACAGGAGGGGCCACCACCTCCTCCTGGACAGGAGCAGGAGCAAGGGCTCCCTCGAGGGCGCGAAGTTATTCGCGCTTCGCGCTTCGCGGTCCTCGTTCCTTCTCCCCCTCCTCCTCGTCCTCCTATTCTCCCTTTGGGAGGGCGGCGCGAGAGCGCGAAGTTATTCGCGCTTCGCGCTTCGCGCAGCGCGAAGCGCGAAGTTGGGAGCCCTAGAGGAGGAGGGTCGAGGAGGTTCGGGATGCCTTTCCTTTTGGCGGCTCCTGGGGTCCTTGGGGGGTGCTGGGGGGTCCTAGGGGGGGGGCCCGTTCGTTGGAGGAGGTGGCGACCCCCCGCAGTGGTGTCCCCTCCCCCTTGGCACTGCCTGGGGATTGGTGAGCTTGGGCCGCGACGAAGTTTGCGTCTCATGGTCGTGAAGGATAACAAGCTCAGCCTCCTCGTCCTGGTCCTGGTCCTCCTCCTTCTCCTCCTCCTCCGCATTCATCCTTTTTCCTTCTACATGTCAGCCAGCGTGGACCGCAATCATTGTTCTCTAGCGTAGAATGTGGTGCAACTTGTGCGGTGCAATATATGTGGTGTAAGTTATGTGGTGCAATCCGTGTTCAGCAAGCTATGTTGTGTAAGCGAGATGCTGATGAAATTAGGCGGGATCTCTGTACCAAAGGGTTCTTGAAACTTGAGTAGGTGAGCTCCGCGCTCATAAGCCATCTATCCCACCAAGTGGGATACGCGATGTTGTGCATTGCCAGCGGTGACCCCAACGCCGTTTTGGCTCAAGCGGAAGAGGTGCTGATTGTCAACAGCCCAACACGTCAACACCCGGACATGACAATCCATCTGGGCAGCGTAAGGGCTGGCGCTGCTCTTCCGCGGCAGGTGGAGGAGGCAGCGACAGAGCTGCGCCCTCTGTACCCCCTTGCAGCCTGGCGAGAGCCAGCAGGAGGCGGCGGGCAGCGGGAGATCCGCGCTCCGCAGTGGGGGACGAGAACTGCGGCACCCACGAGGGCCAGGCTTGGGCACCGGCGCCTGGACACCGTCGAGGCCCGCAAGGACAACTTGGAACTGAAGCATCGCCCGAGGGTGGCCGAGGCGCTCGAAGGCGAGATTGACGAGAGACTCGACCAGGGCGAGTGCCCGATTGGAGGAGCTAGTGGATGATTTTCTGGAAGGCGTGAGGGACCTCGACGGCCGTAGGCCTTCCGCGAGGGCAAGAGGCGGCGTGCAAAGCAACACGCGATAAAACATGGACGAGGACTTACAGAAGGCGCTGGCAGCGTTCCGCCAGGAGCTGCAGCAGAACTTCGGCCAGGAGCTTCGGCATGCTGCCGAGCGCATTCAAGGTCTCGAGGCAGAGAACCGTCGGCTGGTGCAAGAGCTTTGTGGCTCGATGGCCGCGCCTCCGGTGTAGCGATCGACCGTATGGGGGCCGAGACTGCGCGAGGAGCGGCAGCTGCCGACCGGCGCCTGGTTCTTGTGGACACGAAGGGGATCGACCAGCCGACGATTCCGGCGGACGGCCAAGAGAAAATTCGCCGCGTGGGCTCGGAGAACTTCGAAAGCTACGTCCTCGGAGTCTTCGCGGAGATGTTTCGCGTAAGGCTTTGCTTCGCGGTCGAGTCAGATGATCCTGTGGTGATCGAGACCGCGGCCGACGAGAATCCGAACGTGGGCGATCTGGGAAAAAGGGTCAAACAGCTGCACGTGGCCCTGATCTCGACTACCGCCGATGGGAGCGAGTCGAACGACATCGTGACGGGGCCCCCTGGCGGGAACAGTCTCGAAGCTTTGCGGAAGTTGCGCCGCAGGAGGGGCCCCGCGAGAGGGCCACGCAAGTGGGGATTTTGCGCGGCATCACCCCGCCGCCGAAGTGCAGCGCGGACGAAGTGGGCGCTGCGCTTGAGAAGTGGGTCCAGCAAATCGGCAGGTACGAATTGAGGACGCACAACGAAGGGCAGCGTTTGCGAATTCCCGAGGACATCATAATGTCCGCGCTGGAGATGCTGGTGCCAGAGGACCTCGAGATTCATTTCATGCCCAACCAGTGCCAGTTGAAGACGCTTCAAGAGTGCTTGAACGAGATCACCGGCATCGTGGAGGCGAGGACCGGCGTCCAGATCAAGGGGCCGTCCATCAAGCAGCGAAGTACACGGGATCCGAACGCCATGGACGCGTCGAGTTTCGCGCGCGAGAAATGCGCGACAGGCAAGGACGGGAAGGGTCTCAATGGCGAGGGACAGGCGTCCAAAGGTAATTAAGGACTCAAGGGGCAAGGCTGTTGGTACCACGAGCCTTTGGAGTCAGGGATCGTCCGCCGTCGCGCCGAGCGGCGCGAACAATGCGGGACAGCGAAATATTCGGCAAGGCTTCAACGGGCACTGCAAAAATTGCGATCGTTGAGGCCACATTGCGTCAGACTGCTGGAGGAAATGACGGGTCTCGAATTGGGCGGCTGGGCCTGGATCCGGAAGGGGAGCGCGCGCTGGTGGCAGGTGCGGCGGCGGCGCTGGGAAGGGCGGCAAGGCCGCTGGCTGCTTGGAAGAACCAGAAGCGGAATTCACCGCTCTGGACATGGGTTGCTCCGAAGAGGCATGCCCCTAGGGCGAGGTGCTGGAGCTCGCGCCCATCGCCGGCGACCAGAGCGAGTGGGCGAAGTTCAGCTGCGACAGCGGAGCGGCAGTGCCCGCCTTGCCTTGGGCATTTGCGCCCAAAGACGGCATGCAGGGCGACGATGGTTCGTTCTCCTTGAAAAATGGAAGCATCTTGTGGCCGCTCTTGGAGGAGTCCTTCTTGATCGCGTCGCTTGCCCCCTTTCCGATTGGGTTCTCTTCGTGAAATATGTGCCCGCCGTGGCGGTTCAAGAGCGATCGCTGCCCCGTTCCCGCGGTCTGGCCAGCTGTGGCCAGCGGCTCGCGCGCGTTGGCGATTCGGCCTTTCAGAGCCCTCAGCTCGCCAAGCTGGTCCTCCATCCGGATCTGAATGCACCCCTCGTCTTTCGTCGCCTCGCCCGTCGCGGTCTTGTATGGGGCGTGCAACTTTTGCGCGGGGCAAGCCCAACATGGCTCGGCGCGTGCCATCGGGTTGGCCGAGCTCGAGGGGGGGGCGGAGGAGGGGCTTGTCAAGAGTGGGGCTGTTCCAGAGGGTCCCCAGCCGGCGGCCTTGAGCGCGAACCCGATGGGGAGGTGCTCCAGGCGCCGTGGGCAGCCGCGGCGGTGCAGTGCCGCCTGGCTGAGCTGGGGGAGAACCCTGATGGGCATCCCGACGAGGTGTCTCTAGAGGGGCCGCTTGATGAGCAGGGCGACCGTCGCGGCAGGAGATCCACGACCGCGAAGCCGCGGGCCTCGCAGCGTGCCCGAACAGGTGCGAGGAGCGCATTCCAGCCGGAGGCGCTGGCCAGCAGCGCCTGCGCGCGCCCGAGGGGGGCGGCGCGGCCGTGCTCGTGATATTGGGTGACTGCGCCTACGTGGGCCAGGGCGATGCGGACGTCGCGCCGATGTTAGTGCTCGAGGACAGGCGGTCGAAGTTGCCGACCGCCGCGTTCTTGCTCAAGAAGGGCGAGGGCGACTGCGCGGCGAATTTCTTTGCGAGGTTCCCGAGGCAGCTGGGCTGCCGCAAGGTCGTCCTCAAGTCGAGCGGGGAGGGCGCCGTTAACCTGTTGAAAAGTCTGGCGGCGCGAGCGGTCCAAGGTTTGGATGCGGCGCCCCGGCGGTCGCCGCCGTCGGATCGCCGGGCGAAGGGCGAGATGGGGGTGATGGTGCGAGAGATAAAGCGGCAGGCGCGGGCAATCAAGACAGATCGGAGGCCGGGGCCGCAGCTGGGGCTCGAGGGTCGCCATCCAGTCCTGGCGCGCCTCCCGGAGCGCGCGGCGTCAGTCGTCGACCGCTGTCGGGGGTGCCTGGGCGGCAAGACGCCGCTGCAGCGATCAATTGGCAGGCAGCGGCGCAAGCCAGCTTTGATCTTCGGCGAGGGAGTTCTTGAGAGGTCGGCGGGGGAGGTGAGGCGCAATATCGCGCTTGGCGAGATGGTGATCGAGGGGTGGTGCAGTGGTCGCCGCCCCGAGGACGGCTCGACCACGGTCCACGCCAGTGGCTGGGTCAGGAAGGTTCTCGGCTATCGCTCTGCCGCCAGCCGAGTGCTGAGGCGCGGGCGGCTGGGGCGAACTGAGGTGAGCCGTGGGGCGTCGAGCCTGAGGCGGCGCGGGCGCCCGGGGCCGTCGCGGGCCCGGCAGAGGCGGGCCCGCCGCCCATCGCGCGGGCGGCGCCGACGCCGCCGCCGCGCGTCGAAGGCCGACGTCGAGAAGTTCGGGCCCGCTGCGGGCTGCGGCGGGTGCGGGGGCATTCTCGCGCGCGGGGCGGCGCGGGCGGGTCGCCGTCGCAGCGCGGTGTGCGCGAAGCGGATTTTCGAGCAGCTGGGGCCGGGGGAAGACGCGCGGGGGCGGATCGGTCAGCGCCGTGCCCGCCGCGCCACTGAGAGAAGACGGGCCTCGAGCACAAGGCCCTAGAGCCGAAGGTAGCTCGGAGTGTCGCGGCGTGCTCTTGGCCCGAGCAGGCGGCGGGCGCGGCGATGGGGGGGCGCCGAGCCCGGGGTCGGCAGCGGCAGCCGCCGCGCCGGCGGCGCCCCCGGAGGAGGAGTCCGCGCCGCCTGCAGTGGCGAGGGGCGGCGATCAGGAGGTGAGCTCGGCAAGTAAGAGCCGACCGAAGCGTGAGGCATGGGTGCCCGCGTAGGACGTGCCGGAGAACGCAGGGGGGGGCGACGCGGCGGCGGACGCGCCGGGGTTAGTCGATGTGGGGGGCCTGGTTGCAGCGGCAGAGCCGCCCTGGGCATGGGGGGGGGCTGCTGGGGGGTCCACTATTCCCGTCGCTCCGCGGCGTGGGCGGCGGCGTTCCAGCTTCGACGGGGCTTCGTGGCCGACCTGGAGGAGCTAGCGCCCGACGGGCCGGCGGGGGGCCTGACGGCGGACGAGGGCGCGAAGGTGCTGGGGGGGTCCAGGAGGAGCAGGGCCCGATTCTAACTGCAGGCGCACCGCCGAGGGGGGTTTTCGGCGCTCTGCGCAACCTCATCGGCAAGCGCTGCGGGGAGGGCGAGGAGGCCGCAGCGTCGACGCGGCGCTATCTGGGGGCGGCCGCCGGCGCCTGCGAGAGATGATGAAGAAGCATTGTTATTGCTTGCGTGAACATCCCGCGGAGTTGCGATTCATGGCGGGGGCCCCTCACCAGGGGGCTGGTGAGCATGCGGGGCGTTTGCGTGATCAAGGGGCACGCGTGCCGCCGGGTCGCAAGGGCGACGAACCCGACGACGGCGCCTCCGACAGAGGCGTTTGTGCGGGAGGAGTCTGGGTGGCTGACCGCCCACCCTGGGCTTGCTTGCCTGTTGGAGGGTGTCAGCTGGAATCAAGATGCGACCCGGGAATGTCATGGTGCCAACGTCGTAGAGCGGATTTCGTTCGGAAGCGATGAGATGGGCCCAGATTGTCCTGGAGAGTGTCGCTCAGTATTTCGAGGTGAATATCGTGCGGGTCTTTTCTGCCAGGAATGAAGATTAGAGAAATCAGTGTGAAATTCGGTTAGTTTTTTGCTTTTCTGATCGGGGTTTAACATTGACAGAAATCCACGAACAAATCCGCTGCAGCACGTCTGCAAGGTCGGTGCAGTGAGGTGTGGCGCCGCCGTGTCGACACCGTTAGAGGCATTGTCAGCTTCGAAGATCTATCCGCCAAGCTCGTGTTGTTGGCGAGTCTCGACGGGCCGGCGTCGACGCTGCAGTCGATCGGGGAGCTGACCAACCGAGGTCTCCGAGAGTCGGCCGCTGCTGGAGGAGCCGGCCGTCCCGGATGGAGATTGGGCGATGTTTTGGGATGGCGTCAACGGTGGATACCTTGTCCCGGCCAGACAGGGCCCGAACGGCGTGCGAGGTAGAGCGCAAGTGGGTGAGGAAGGAGGAGCTGATCGAGATCGTTCCTCGCGGCATGTGCCTCCAGGAGACTGGCAGAGCCCCTGTCCCACTGAATTGGGCTGACACGAACGAGGGCGATCGCCGGAAGGGGAACTATCGCGGCGGGCTGGTGGTGGAGGAGATCAAGGCGAAGCATGCGGTTCACGAGAAGCTCGGCGTCTCGGAGGTTCTCCCCGAGATGCCCCCCGCCTGGAGGCGATGAGAGCCCTTGCGTTGCTCCTGGTCGCGCGGGCGCGGCAGGCGCCGCCCCGCGTCCAGGGGGAATTGGCCGAGCTGGGCCAGAAGCCAGGCAATTTCAATGTGGCGATTTTCGACATCAGTGGGGCCCACTTCTACGGTGGGGCGAGGCGTCGGATCCCCGTGGAGCTAGAGAAAGAGAGCCGGGAGGAGCGCGGCGAGGGCAAATGCGGCTTCCTTCCGAAATCATGGCGTGGCACGCAGGGTGCGAGCAACATCTGGCAGGATGACTGCGCGGAGTTATTCAGCAGCCATGGTTTCATTCCGGGAGTAGCCTACCTGGCTGTGTTTTGTCGCGCGGAGGAGGAGGTTCGTCTGCTGATTCGTGGTGGTGGTTTTCTGGTGCATGCCCAGCATAACATAATCGACAGCTTTGAGACAGGTTTGGCGACCAAATGCGAGTTGAGGAAAACGGCCGACCTTGGATCTTACGACGCCGAGAACAAGCAGGTGACGTTCCTCGGCGGAATCGTCGAGGTCAGCGCTGGGATCCTTCGCGGCGGTAGTCGACCGAAGCGGCGCGCGACCATCGTGCCTGGCGCTCGACGTGCCGCGATCGTCGTGGACGAGCTGGGGCTGCAGAGGGCCAGCGGCGTGGAGACCCCGAGTGGGAAGAAGAGCGCGGACAAGCAGATGGTCGACTCCAAGCCAGCCCTTCTGGGGGCAGCAGAAGGGCCCCGTTGCCGATCGATCGCGGTGCGGGTTGCGTATTGCTCAGGACAGGGTGGATCTTGCTGAGGCATCAGAGACGCTCGCCCGGTCCATGCTGTTGTTTACGGAGGCGAGCTGGCAGATGCTTAAGAGGGTGGGCAGATGCCTCAAGAAGTGCCCGAACATGGTCAGTTTACTCCGATCGGCCCATGTTCGAGCGTTTGTATGTAGACAGATCATGCTGAGTGTGCCGTATCCAGGAAGAGCACAGGCGGTTTCGTGGCCATGCTAGGGCACCACGTGGTGAAGCACGGGGGCAATCTACAGTCCGCGTTGGTTCAGCAGCGGAGATGACAGCAGTGCCTGGGCCTGAGAACGCGGCGGGCGCCCTGGCGAAGAGCGTTGGAGGTTCCTTTAACGTCGAGTGTTGGCGGCATTGAATGTCCGGGCAGGGGAAGCCAGCGGCGTCCAGAAGGTGGCGCTGCGAGCGAGATTCAGGGGCCGAATCCGCGCTCCGCTGCCAAATGGTCGCGGCAGTTGGCTGCGGGCCGCTTTCCTGAGCGTGGGGGCTCGTCAGACGCCCGCCCTCGTTGGCAAGGGCGCCCGCCATGTGAGCGCTCGCGAGCGCGGTGGATCGAGTGCCAGCGGGTCAGCGCTGGAGCCCGAGGAGGGGTGGCGCGTTTCGGCGGGAGGTCCAGGCCAAAAGGATACAACAAATGAGTGGTTTATCTTAGTGTTCAGAAACCATGTGTCCTGCTGGGTGGGATCAACGATTTTGTTTTTTGCCAGCGGTGACCCCCGACGCCTTTTTGGCCCAAGTGGAAAAGGTGCTGGTTGTCAACGCCCCAACATAATAATTCGCCAGATGGTGCAACATATGTGGTGTGAGCTATGTGGCGCAATCTACATGGTGCAACATATGTGATGTAATATTTGCGGTGCGCTCCATGTGTAGCTATGCCAATCAGTGTGCAGTGCGCAAAGCAATGCAAATCACTGCGCTGTAATACAATTCAACGCCGTGCAATGCGACGCCATGCGCCGCAATGCAAACCAATGCAAAGCACTGCGAAACAATGCAACACAATGCAGTCGGATGCAACCACAGGTAAAACAATGCAGAACAATGCGAGTCAATGCTAAGCACTGCGACGCAATTCAAATCAATGCGGAACAATGAAGCGCCATGCATGCGGAACACTGCAACGCAATCCACCGCAGTTCAACACAATGCACAGCAATGCCATGCGGTGCGTGCGAAACATAGAGATTCAAGGCATGACGAATCCATAGCAAGGCGAATCGATCCAAACCAGTACAAAGTAACGCACGTCAGTGCAACACAATGCAAATCAATGTGACGCTACGCAAACCAATGCAGTAGGATGCGACCAATTTTAAACACATACAGAGCAATGCGACGAAATGCTTACCAACGCGACAAACCGCAGCAATGCTCGGCAATAGACAGCGATGCGCTGCGATGCGTGCGAAGCAACGCGATGCAATTCACGCGATACAGCGTAAGGCGACGCAATGCAATGCGATGCAAAGCAATGCAGCGCAATACAAGGCAAACCAACATAATACCAATGCAAATCAACGCGAAACAAGGTAAAGCAATGCGAAACGATACAAAGCAATGTATATCAATGCGACGCGACGCAAATCAATGCGAAGCAATGCAAGCGGGCGGCGGCGACGGGCGGCGACGGGCGGCGACAATTTGGCGGGAGCTCCAGCCAGGTCCCAGCGGGCGGCGGCGACGGGTTGCGACGGGCGGCGGCAAGCCAGCCGGACCGCCAGCCAGGCTCATTTCCTTAGAAGAGAAGTATGAGCCTTTAAGTGGAAACATTTTTTGGGGAATAGCTCCTCCCTGTCGCACCCCCAGACGTGCTGGCAGAGCGGGCCGGGCGTTTCGCCTGGGATTTCTTCGCCACTCGTGATCCTCAAGATAAATGTGCAGCAGTTTCACAGATGGGGGGCGGGCAGTTTTCAAAATGCGGCTCTTGACCTGGCGCCGCGCACATTCGTTTGACAAAGATCAGCAGCTTCAGAGGTGGAGGGCGATCCGTCTTCAGAGCGCAGCTCTCGCATTTGCGCCGCGCGCACTCGTCCTGAGCGCTTGCAACAGTTTGAGGGGTGGAGGGCGGTTCCTCTTCAAACGGTGTCCCCGCCCCGGCGCCGCGTCAATCCTTTATTTGCGTCTAGAGATGTTTTACGGTTTCGTATGGTTGAAATCATAGGAATCATGTTCAGGCTCGGTTTAAATTTGTCAGGGCAGAACAGTCACGCTGCTTGGCCGTGCTCCAATCACAGGAACGGTGTTCTGGCTCGTTGTAGGGTTGTCAGAACACAACAGTCACGTTGATGCGCGGCGTCCCAGGCAATGCGGTTTGGCGCGATTGAGGATTCTCAGGCGGTTGTCTTCCGATGGGGTATTTCCCGCAATCAGAAATTGTGGGACCTACGATATGCAACTTGGAGTAGGGGTTTATTGCAGCTCCTCGTCGTCGTCGGCGTCCTCCTCCTCCTCGTCCTCCTTCTCCCCCTCCTCCTCTTCGTCCTCGTCCTCGTCCTCTTCCTCCTCCTCCTCTTCCCTCTCCTCCTCCTCCTCCTCCTCCTCCTCCTCCCCCTCCTCCTCCCCCTCCTCCTCCTCCTCCTCTCCCCCCCTTCCCGCGGCCAAGGTCGTTGGCCCCCGCGTTCTCCTCTTCCTAATTACTCCTATTCCTATTGTTCCTCCTCCTCTTCCTCTTTTTCCCCCTCCTCCTCCTCCTCTTCTCCTCTTCTCCTCCTCCTCCTCCTCCTCCTCCTCCTACTCCATTCCTCCTCTACTCATCCTCCACTTCTCGTTCCCGCCCCTCCCGTGCTCCCCCCCTTTTCTGCCACTCCTCTTCCCCCTTCCTCCTCCCCAGGCAGGCGCTCCAGGCAGGCGCTTCCTGTCTGGCCTCCCCCCAACACCGCGGGGAGTCTTTTAGTTGCCTCTCCTGCTTCGCCCCGGCCAGGGCCTGCGGCGGAGGTGATGATCGTTCGAGGTGATACTTCTGGAGGCCCGTGCGGATTTTCTGGGACTTCGCCAGACCAGCCTGGTGGCGCCTCTGGCCCCGGTTCAGCTCCTGTCGCGCGCCTGGGGATGGGGGGTCGAGCGTCGCCCCCAGAATTCGCACGGGCCCCCGGAAGAGCACAGCCTGGCGCTGGCGGTCAGTCTTCCAGAGCCGTTGCAGCAAGGTCGCTTCTGGACCCTCTCTTGGCCGTCGCTCCTTGCTAAGAGAAAGTTGCGTCCGACGCTTCCGCCGCCAGGTATATCGGCCCTCTCGGAGGCCTCTTGGGCCGTCCTGGGGCGGTCTTGGGAGCATTTCGGGACGTCCTGGAGCGTCGGAAGCTGGAAAAGTCGAGAACCTCCCAAACATTGAAATACTAATGGGAAATCCATGAGTTTTGCCTCTTGAGGCCCTATTGGGGGTGCTCTTGGAGGCTCTTTGGGGCGTCTTGGCAGCTTTTTCGGCCGTCTTGGGGCCATCTTGGGCGTCTTGGACTTGGACCGATCGTGCGGCGATTCGGGGCACCCTTGGACCACCAGTCTAGTCCGATCCTCCTCCTCCTCCTCCTCCTCCTCCTCCTCCTGCTCCTCCTCTCTCCCTCCTCCTCCTCCTCCTCCTCCTCCTCCTCCTCCTCCTCCTCCTCTCTCATCCTTCCTCCCCCTCCTCCTCTCCTCCTCCTCCTCCTCCTCTCCTCCTCTCCTCCTCCTCTCCTCCTCCTCCTCCTCCTCTCGTTCGCCTCCTCCTCCTCCTCCTCCTGCTCCTCATCTCCTGCTCTCCTGCCTCTCCTCCTCCTCCTGCTCTTGCTCCTCCTCCTCCTCCTCCTCCTCCTCTCCTCCTCCTCCTCTCTCCTCCTCCTCCTCCCTCCTCCTCCCTCCTCCTCCCTCCCCCCTCTCCCTCCTCGAACGGCAACCTCCTCCTCCCCCCCCCTCTCCCTCCTCGAACGGCAAGGTCCTTCGGTGTTTCCTCCTCCGCCGTCTGATCCGCGTCCACGGCGCGCACCGCGCGGCCTCTCGCCTCGCGCGCGCGCGCGCCCTCGGGCGCCCGTGGGCGGAGGTCCGGATCTTCGCTCGTGCAGGCGGCCCTTTCCGCTGTGCCTGGGGCGGGGGGGCCGGAGGGCACCAGCTATGCCCAGAGGAGGAAGATGCATCGATAGTGCGACCCGTCCCTCATTTTCCCCTGTTTGGGCCTCCTGGAAGGCCCTCGTCGACGCGGCCCGATTCGCCTCGAGATTCTGGTCAGAGCTCACCCACGGAGAGGTCTTGAGAGCAGCGGTATCGGTATCTCTAGGCTTCCCCATCTACGCCCACACCGATCCTGACCAGGCCGATCCTGGGCCCAGGATCGGCGTATCTGCCTTCTTGCCCATGCCGGGATACCGTGTACACCGATCCTGGGCCCTGGGTGATCCTGGCCAGGATCGGTGTGGGTGCATAGTCGGTGTCCTCCTGGGGGGGGGGGGACGCTGCTCGGGAGGCTTGCGCCATCCCGCCGGCCCCCAGGAGAGGAGATGTGCGGCTTCGGCTTTCGCATGCGTCGTTTGCCGCGGGGCCGCCCTACCACTCCCTTCCTTCCGCGGCCGCCGCCTGGTCTCCTTTTCCACTTGCAGTGCGCAGTTCGCTGCACAGCCGCCTGGAGAGCCGCTCGGCCGACCTGCGCGCTCACCGGGTGCGCGACAAAAAGGTGTCGTTTGCTGCTTCCCGCCGTGCCGCCTGCGTGTACGGTAGGTTTGCGTCGTGTCGACCAGCTGCGACCCCAGCGAGGGCGTTCAAGGTTGAACGCCGCCGGCGACCCAGAATCGATCGATGTTGAACGATTGGACGTTGCGGCAGCGGCCGATCGTTCAAGGTTGAACGATCCCTGCGGTGTCAAAAACCAACGCCGGGGTCGGCACGACACGAACCTGCCGTAGCTGTTGCTGGCTCGTCCTCCAGTTCCTCCGCGTCTGCTGCAGGGCCTGTTGGGGGCCTCTTGAAGGCCGCGGGGGTGGCCTCTTGTGCGTCTCGTGACGGCTTCTGGGGCCATTTTTTGGGGGCCCTCTTGGGGGGGGGGCACATTGCGCGCACGGCGCATACAGAACCGCGTTGGGATCAGCCTTTGGCTTTCGGACCGCTCCTTAAAACCAGGGCGGGGAACCTAATCTTTGCCGAGCCCCCCCCCCCCCCCTTTGGACAGGAAATTGTTGACATTTCGCGTGTCCCCACTAACTAATTAGGCCTGCTTCCGCGCCCCGGACAGCTTCTGACTCCGCCTGCGCCTTCGCTAGCGGACGCGACCGAAAAATTAGCCTGGCGAAAGACCCAACCATATGCAGTTGTGGGTATCGCATTCGGGGAAGCCCCCTATGGGGCCACGAAACGCTGTACTGGGTGGGGGGGGGGACGCATGCGAACTGCGCCACTGGGACCTTCGGTGGAGCTCCCTATGGGGCCACGAAACGCTGTACTGGGTGTGGGGAGGACGCATGCGAACTGCGCCACTGGGACCTTCGGTGGAGCTCCCTATGGGGCCACGAAACGCAGTACTGGACGCATGCGAACTGCGCCACTGGGACCTTCGGGGGAGCTACCTATGGGGCCACGAAACGCTGCCCTGGGTGGGGGGGGAGGGGGGGCGCATGCGAACTGCGCGACTGGGGCCTTAGGTGGAGCTCCCTATGGGGCCACGAAACGCTGCCCTGGGTGGGGGAACCGCATGCGGGCTGTGCCACTGGGACCTTCGGTGGAGCTCCCTATGGGGCTACGAAACGCTGCCCTGGGTGGGGGAACCGCATGCGAACACCCCCACTGGGGCCTTCGGTGGAGCTCCCTATGGGGCCACGAAACGCTGCCCTGGGTGGGGGAACCGCATGCGAACACCCCCACTGGGGCCTTCGGTGGAGCTCCCTATGGGGCCACGAAACGCTGCCCTGGGTGGGGGAACCGCATGCGAACACCCCCACTGGGGCCTTCGGTGGAGCTCCCTATGGGGCTACGAAACGCTGCCCTGGGTGGGGGAACCGCATGCGGGCACCCCCACTGGGGCCTTCGGTGGAGCTCCCTATGGGGCTACGAAACGCTGCCCTGGGTGGGGGAACCGCATGCGAACACCCCCACTGGGGCCTTCGGTGGAGCTCCCTATGGGGCCACGAAGCGCTGCCCTGGGTGGGGGAACCGCATGCGAACACCCCCACTGGGGCCTTCGGTGGAGCTCCCTATGGGGCTACGAAACGCTGCCCTGGGTGGGGGAACCGCATGCGGGCTGTGCCACTGGGACCTTCGGTGGAGCTCCCTATGGGGCCACGAAACGCTGCCCTGGGTGGGGGAACCGCATGCGGGCTGTGCCACTGGGACCTTCGGTGGAGCTCCCTATGGGGCCACGAAACGCTGCCCTGGGTGGGGGAACCGCATGCGGGCAGTGCCACTGGGACCTTCGGTGGAGCTCCCTATGGGGCTACGAAACGCTGCCCTGGGTGGGGGAACCGCATGCGGGCTGTGCCACTGGGACCTTCGGTGGAGCTCCCTATGGGGCTACGAAACGCTGCCCTGGGTGGGGGAACCGCATGCGGGCTGTGCCACTGGGACCTTCGGTGGAGCTCCCTATGGGGCTACGAAACGTGTGAGGGGTGTGCCGAGAGCAGAGGCAAGGAGGGGGAGGAGGGCGAGGAGGGGGAGGAGGAGGAGAGGAGGTGGGACGCGGGGCGCTGTCTCTTCAAAACGAGGACCCAACACCACAGGATGGTTGGGAACAATTTCCAGGTGAGTTTCATTGATGAGGGATGTGTAGCAGCGACGACGACGAGGACGACGGCGATGACGACAGGAGTAATCCATTCAGGCTTTTCCGGGTCTTTGGCTCTGTGAGCCTCTTGGAGGCCTCTTGAGGTCATCTTAGGGCCCTCTCGAGGCAAGTTTGAAGTCCTTTTAGGCCCTCGTGTCTTGGGGCCCTCTTGGGGTCCTCTTGGATGTCTTTGGGGCCCTCTTGGATGCCCTGGGGGCCCTGCTGGGGCCATCTTGGAGGCCATCTGTCAAAGAAGGGCGGGTTCTCAATGTCAGCCCCCCGTCAGGCTTCGAAGCATCGCCTTCGGGCTCTCTTGGGGCGCTTTTGGGACGCTGTTGGGCGCTCTTGGGGCTTTCCTGGGGCTCTCTCTTGGGCCCTCTTGGGTTTCTATCGGGTCATCTTGGAGCCATCTTGAGCCTTCAGAAGCCAGTTGGAAAAGAAAAGGCGACAAGGCACACAACATTCATTTTCCATAGGTTTTGGGACAGATTTTGCCTCTTGGCGCGTTCCTGGGAGGCTCCGTGGCCACTCGGAGCCGCCTTGGGGCGGTCTCGTGGAATCTCGGAGGCATGTTGGAGGCAATCTTGACCCATCTTGGGCTTTGTTGAGCGCTCTTGGAGGCCATCTTGGGCTTTCATGAAGCCGTCTTTGGGCCATTTAGGGCGGGGGTAAGGGGAGGGATCAAGTTTCCGGCGAGAACGCTGAGAGCTGTCTCGCTCACTCACACCCGCTCTCCCACTGCATGAGTAGCACCCGAGGCTTCGCAGCCCCACCAGTCCTGTCAAAGGCCAATGCTCGGGGATGGCGGGGCTGCTGGCATCGTGTACTGCTTGTGGGTGTGCACCCGCAATCCTTTTGCACTTGTTTTGATTGGGATGCTGTGCCTGCGCACGGCAGGCAGTACGCCGCCCCCCTCCGCCGTCCCCGGCCCTGGAAAGTGCAGCGGGGCCTGCACGCAGCAGGCAACTCGCTGGCCCGTCCGCCGTCTCTCTCGAAAACCCGTGCGACGTGATCGCGGGGCGTCCGCGCATGATCCAGATTCCTCTCGCTTCGCGGGGTGCACGTCCGGAGCACGTAGAGTCCAGTCGTTGCGGGGCCTCTGGGGAGCTTTTTTGTGGCCTCTTGGAGGTGTCTGGGGGGCTTCTTGGGGCCTCTTCTGCGCTGGGCTTCTTTGGGGCCTCTTGAGGCCTCTTGGGGGCGTCTTGGGCCGTCTTGGGGCGCTCTTGCGGCGTGTGGCCCATTCGGAAGCCGGTTTGGGGACCAAACCGCCGAGCCTTTGGGTAACTGGCGGTTGTGGCGCGTTGATCCTGAGGGCCTCTTGGGCGCCTTTTCGGGGCGTCTTGTTGCCTCCTGGAGCTTCGCGGAGGCTTCTTCGTTGCCGGACGGGTCCGATGGCTCGAAGTGCTCTTTTGGGCCGTGTCCGCGCATGATCAAGATTTCGGTGCAAAGTGCAGTTAGTGTGGTTTTTCCCTACCTAGGCTCTGCCTAGAAGGGTTCTTACTCTGTTAGCTTAAAGGGGCCGGGCAGTGGAAAGCGCCCCGGGCGGTTCCCCCAGTCCCAGCCCCGCGGTTCCCCCAGTCCCCTGGGAGCTTTAGCTTTAGCTTTTAGCTTTAGCTTTAGCTTTAGCTTTAGCTTAGCTTTAGCTTAGCTTTAGCTTAGCTTTAGCTTAGCTTTAGCTTAGCTTTAGCTTAGCTTTAGTTTAGCTTTAGCTTAGCTTTAACTTCAGCTTATCTTTAGCTTAGCTTCAGCTTAGCTTTAGCTTAGCTTTAGCTTAGCTTTAGCTAGCTTTAGCTTAGCTTTAGCTTAGCTTTGGCTTCGCTTTAGCTTTAGCTTTAGCTTTAGCTTAGCTTAAGCTTATATTTAGCTTAGCTGTAGCTTATGTCTAGCTTAGCTTTAGCTTAGCGTTAGCTTAGCTTTAGCTTAGCTTTAGCTTAGCTTTAGCTTAGCTTTAGCTTAGCTTTAGCTTAGCTTTAGCTTAGCTGTAGCTTAGCTGTAGCTTAGCTGCAGCTTATCTTTAGCTTAGCTTTACTGTTACTACTAATGCTGCTTTCCTAGGGGCTCCAACTCCTAGGTAGGGTCGCACTGGGATATTTTTTTTTGCAAGGGATGGTGGGAGGAGGTGTTGGCATTGCACACAGCAGGCAATTTGCCGGTACCCCCGCCGTCCCCGTCAAGAACCTATGCTAAGTGATCGCGGGGGGGCCCGCGCATGATCCAGATTTTGGTGCAATGCGTACTTTGCATGGTGGTCTGCTAGGGACTGTGCCGGGGGGTGTCGTCATTGGCCCGGGTTTGTCGCCGGTCGGGTGAGGGTTAGGAGGGAAAGAAACACACAGACACAATTCATCGTCGATTCCCCAGAAAATATAGGAAAATATAGGAAGTGGAAGGGAAGACAGAAACCCAGAAAATATAGGAAAATATGGGGAATATTTTTATTTGTGTGTATTAATTTGTGTGTGTGTCCTGGGGCCCCTTCAGAGGGAGGGGGTGTTATATGCAGTGAAAACCCACCCCGAATGGGGTCAGCCGGGGGTTGGAATGACAAGCTCGCGAGAAGCCACGCACGCCCCGAAGGGCCAGTGGGACCTCCTTTCGTGGCCGAGGCCCCCCCGCTCTGGAGATCTCTCTTTCGTTCCTTACACGGCGCTCCTTGCGGCAGTGCGGTGAGGGAGGGAGGGAAGAGGAGGAGGAGGAGGAGGAAGAGGAGGAGGGGGAGGAGGAGGAGGAGGAGGAGGAGGAGGAGGAGGAGGAGGAGGAGGAGGAGGGAGGAGGAGGAGGAGGAGGAGGAGGAGGAGGAGGAGGAGGAGCTGGCGTCACTCCGTCGACACTCGCGGGAGGAGATACAGCCGGGGCCCTGAAGGAGGAACCCTTTTCGTTGGGGAGGGGCTCGGTGTTCCTTGACTGTTCGACAGCTTGCCTTCTGTTTTCCTGAAGTTTTCCATGGGAACTCGAAGTGCAACTTATGGGAGACAGGGGCCCCGTTCCTTACTTGGGGTTCCTTAGGTCAACGCCCCGACTGTATACGGCTTCCAGTTTTGTATGCCTGGTCTGCCGCTTCCCGGCGTGCTGTTGCGCGCGGGTGGCTGCTGCCGATTCGCCCCCGTCTTCCTCGCCGTCTGCTGCGGGGCCTCGAGAGAGCGTGTGCAGAGGCCTCGGGGGCGGCCCCCCCGGGAGCCTTCTGAAGGCCCCCGTGGCTTCTTTGGGGACCCTCTGGGCGGGGAGCAGTTCTTCACCGGGGAATGCCACTTTGGGTCCGGGGACGGCTCCGGTCTCTGCATCCAGGTCGGGAGGAACCCGTTCACGGCCGGAGCCCCTTCGTTTTTCATTTGACGTTCTTCACGGTGGCACGATGGATGCCTAGTTGGTTTCGTGGCATCACCCAGGATCCAGCCCCCCCCTCCCTCCCCCCAAAGCGCAGGAGTCCGCTACAGTGAACCCAGACATGTGATGCCCCGATTTTTTCAGTGCGGGGTCGCCGGAAGTCCCGACCCTTTCCCTGGCACCGGTTTTTCATCCTGCGTCGTTTTTTGACGGGTCTTGGGGCCGTGTAAGGTCGGCTACACGTAAGAGTGACCTTTGGTGCGGGCCCAATGGGGTCCCCCGGCCGCCAAACGCGATGCGGTAGCAGCGTCTTGCACGCTCGTGTTTGGTCCCCCCCGCGGTCCCCAAAAAGCTGCGCACCACAGGTCACCCTTACCCAGGGTCACTCTTGCGTGTAGTCGATAAGGGCCCCCAGAGGCCCGAAACGGCCAAACACTCCCGTCCTGATTTTTCGGAGATGGATAGACCTCCTACCCTGAGACGTCGATTGAGGAATTGGCCGTTTTCGGTTCGCGAGAGGGAGTCGCGGCCGTCATGTCCGTCCACGAGCGCCCTGCCCGTCCACGAGCGCCTTGCCCGTCCACGAGCGGTGCCTGGGTGAGCTTGAGCCTCGATCCGCAGCGAAACGAAGAGTTAAGTCGGGCCTGTCCCTCTACAGGGGGGATGTTCAAAGATAGTCAACAAATAGTCTGGGGATTATCTTAATCTTTCGCCCAAGAATCTCCTCTAGGGGGACAGGCCCGACCTGAGCCTTCGACAAGGAAACCAGGGTCTCGCGACCGATGGGCGGCCAAACGTGGACCACCCACCTCGCCTCGAAAGAAGGAGGAATGCGCCAGGGTCTGGGCCCCAGGATTTCACGGGTCGGCGCCGGGGCCCACCTGCCCGGCGCCTCCGGCGCCGCCCCTGGCGCGCTCCGCGCGCTGGGCGGGGGGTGTCCAGCGCTGCGCGGACCTCCGACAGTTCATGCTATTATGCCTCGGGAAGTGGAACACATACATTGCCAGTGGCGGGCGTTTTTTTTCAATCCCAGGGCTTTTTTGAGGGTCGGGGACGACGTCGGGGTGGTGTGGTGTATACTTTTTGTCCCCGTTTTCCCGTGGAAATCGCCAAAGGTGTATACACCAGGATGCCGTATACACCAGAATCTGTTTCCTTGTGCGGATCTCAGTGCGGGACCAGAAAAAAGACTCGGTGTATAGAGTTCGGTTCCTTATATGCCGTCCTCTGGTTCCTCGAAAGATGGGATGCAGCGGGCACGCAGAAGCTTGGGATCAGCCTGGGCAGAAGCAGGAGTCAGCCATAGATGCCTTCGCGGACCCCTCGACTCGGGAGCAGCGATGCAGGCC